GCAGCAAATGGAAAGCTACAGAAACTCTTATATGGTTTACGACTATTGTTCAAAAACAACTACCAGCAAACCAGAATGCTCGTTAAATAACTGACTAAATAGGATTCATTTGAAGATCCTATGTTTATATTTATTTTTTGTGGTGTCATCAATTTTCATTGGAAGGAAGTGGCAAGAAGATTAGTGTTGTGGGTAACAATTTTGTGCAAGAGTCAAGCCTTCGATATAAAATTCTTGAAAACATTGTATAGTAGAATACAAAAAACATAAACTTGTTATAAAACTAAGAGCAAAAAACGAAAAATAGAACAAGAATTGAGAGAATCAATACATATGTGTGAGATTATATCATAACGACGGAATCATATTTTTAGGATTCAAAATGAGATTTACAATTAAAAATAGAATACACTCTTTTGTAGTAAATAAGACTTATATACATATCATAATGAGATTAAATAAATATCAATAATTATTTGGCAATTTTATAATACTCCTCCTTTGATGACCATTTACATAATATCTGCCTCGTTAAAAACCTAGTTTAGCAAAAATCCAATTAGACAAAAGTACCAAACTTAAGAAAATAGAGTACAAATAATTATAACAAAATTGGTATAATAACATGTTGTTTTGTTTAAACATTGTTAAAAAATTTTAGTGGGACAAAATTTGAGCGAGGGAAAAAGGTACATTTGCTCTCTTGATGAAAATCATTGTAATGAGTTATAGGTGTCTTATATACCCATATCTTAATAATTCCAATGAAGTGTGCTTGAAATTGTCTTGTTATAGCTTTTAAGAAATATAATTTTTACTAGATATTTATCAATTTTTGGTGACTGTAATTATATGATGGTTCAGTAATAAATGGATTTTGTTATTTTTTGTAGGAGTCTTGTACCCAATTTGTAACATATAAGAGTATTGTTTAGAGGGTATATATTTTTTTTTGTTTTTTTATAGTTATGGACATTTGTTATACAAAGAATATATCCGTTAAAATTTTATTAGGAAAAATCTTGAAGAATAAATTCTAATCAAGGAAAAGTAATAAATTCTTATTTTGAATATGCTACAAAAGTTGCCTCACTGAAAACATTGTTAGGAAAATCTAACTGGAGAAAATTTTAGTCAAGGAAAAAAGAGTAAAATGTGTCTTTACTCCCCTCATCATAATTTCACTTAAATTATATGTTCCAAGTGTAAAATACTTCAAGGATATTAATAAAGCTATGCCAAATGATTTGGTTATATGTACATTTATTGTATGCATATCAAATTTTATGCATTGCTAGGATAATAAGATATAGACTTGTGATTACGTCCATCACAATCTTTATGAAATTTTAATATGTCGAGAATTGTGCATTACACATTATGACTACATTTTCTACATTTCCTTTTCATAAAAGTTTACACGTTTAGGTGTTTGGGTGGCATGTTAAAAAATTTGAGGTTTCTCCATTAAGTTCAATTTGCTAAGATTGTGTACTTTTATTTAGACACTCATTTATCTGATCAATACGTTTTGATGAGTTTATTTTGATATTCTTTCTATTTGTAGTATGAATTGATATAACAGGTACAAAGTATTATCGATAATTTTTTTGTTTCGATTTTATTTTATTCCCATAATGACATATCTTTAATTTCAATAATTCATGTACTTGAACCTCTTTTAAGATTTTATGATTAGGTATATCTATATATTCTCTAAGAGTATATACCTTCTAAATGAAACTATATTCTTTATTTGTTCCATTTTCTTTTGAAGATTTTTATCTTGAAATTGAATGTAATCACTTCAAGTATGCCATAAATTTATCATATATAATATTAACGAATTGTCCTCATAAAACATTGATTCAAGTTGGAGCATTTAAAACTTGTATGTGAGACATTATTAACTCATTGTTCAATACATGAATTGAAATTAATTATCTTTTGTAATGATCTAAATAATAATACTATAGATATATAATTTCAGTTTCTTAATTCCTCTTTCTTATTATAAGAAAACTCTCCAATCAAATGGACAATCAGCAAATTGTTAAAATATTGATTGTTAGAGTTTAAAAGAATTTATAACGGTTCAAACTATACATGTATTCTCAATATTTTTTAAGGTCCATTTCAAAAAAATATGGTGGAGTGCTTGTACATACATGCACTTATCAAAAATCATTAGACGAAAATATTAAATTTTGATAGGGAAAACATTGATATTATAGTGATCCTATAAGTTTTCCTACGTATAAAATAACATTTCCAATCAAAAATGAAAAGCACTTTGTTCTCAATATTAATTGTTTAGAAATTAATTGGAGTTTTTTAATAATAATGTTAAATCATTTATCATCATCTCAAGTAACACTTATTTAGGATCATTAGTTTAAAAAGACACATTGTCTTGATTCTATAATCTGAGAGTTATGCTCATAATTTAAAATATGAGCAAGTATTCTCGTAAATTTCAGTTATGAACACCATGTAATTGGCTAGTAACTATATTTATTGGATAGAAATTATGTCTAGATGGTCAACATGGAGGATGACGGACCCCCTTTTATCACCCTAATTAATTCTAGAATCATAGGGATTTATTTCAATTTCAGCTAGTGATGATCAATGATCAATTTATGATACACAAAACAAGAATTATATGTGAATTCATTGGATTGAAAAATCTTCCATTTCTTTACCATTAGTTAGTGCAGTGTGATAATTAGATTAGTTGCAGGTTTAATTTGTTAATATAGATCATCTGTCAACTAATCTTGCTATTCAATTAAATTTAGGTTCATTAGAATTGCCTAAATACTTAGTTATTGTCAACAATATTATCATGATATATAGATTAGTTTTATCTAGCTTAGAAAGTTCATTTCATTCCAATTGTAACTCTTATTTTAAACCATATGAATACAGGTCCTTATTCTCAATAAAATACACGCTTGAGTTTTGACTCTTATATTCTCTTATCTTTTTCTCTCTTTTCTTCACACAAGATGATATTTATTTAATAAATAGATATCCTACTCGAAAATATGAAAATATTTCAAAAAAAAAAAGAAAGAAAAGAAAAGAAAAAAGAAGAAGCCAAATATGACTACAGGGATTAGTTTGTATTATGGGTAAATAAAAAAATATTTTTATTAATTACAAAAATTATTTGTGAATTTAAAACATTGTCTTAGTAGTCTTTACATGGAAAATTATTATTATTCTAACAATCTCATATATAAATGAATATAACACCGTGTGTTTCCAATTTATTTGCTTCTAATACTTTAACCATGTGTCGCATATAAATATATTTTTTATTTAAGTTCTATATATTTATAATAGTAAAATCCATCATTCATCCTTTCACTCTATATCTCAAAATAATTAGATGTTTGTTCCCCCAATAAACGTTGATTTGATTATCTCATCTTGAATAAGAGATTCTTAAAGTTTATAATGATGTATTTCTATTTCTATTTTTATTTTGGGCGACTTTACTTTCATCAAGTCTTATCTACAAATGAAATTGTTGGTCTTCGACAACTTTTAATTTAAAATGATAGTTGTTAAATTTCCATTTTCTTGGCTAAAATGTCGAAAGCAAATTTATAAAAAAAAATGAAAAATGAAAAATAAAAATAAAAGCTTAACTAAAATTAATATTCATTTTTTAAAAATTGTTTTTCTCTGAATTCATTTTCAATTACACATTTTATTGGACCCACAATTTTTATCTATTTTTCAACCACGCAATTTATCAACCATGATCAATATATACTAGAAATCTGATTTTTTTTTTTTATCAAAATTAAATTGTTCCTAAAAAAATTGTTAAAGTTTGTCTTATGAGTAAAACATGTTTCATCATTTGAAATTATTAATTAAACAGGGACGATTACATTTGATGATAAGAAAACCTCTGATAATCGATTGAGCATATTACTTTGTTATTTTATTTGTCACGAAATTACTAAAATATATATTATCGACTATATTATTGTATTTTTTTTTTCTTTAGCTTGCTTCTACAATGATTTTATGTCATTCAATGTCATCTTGCACAATTTAATTGAGATTTGATAATCCAAATTAATAAATATGGGATGATTATTGCCCTAGCATTGTTCTTTTAACTTTGATTTTCTGTATCATATAAGGGAAAATAATGTTCCGAGTTTGCAATGTTAATGCTGACCTCAATAATAGATTTTCCATAATCAGATTACTATTTTTATCTCAATCAATGAGATCCACCTTAATTAAACATGAAATTAATTACAGTTTCGGCTGTTCAATTATATTAATTTGGAAAGTATTAATCAAATGATCTTCATATTGTTACATTAATGAGTAATGCTATTTAACAATACTGATATTATAGCATCATTGGTGTTAAAACATTAGTGTAAATGTAACATTAAGTGATATTAAATCAGATGTACTATTAAATACGTCACATTAATCAACCTTTAATTGAGCCTTTAATATAATACCATTGGTACGATAAAACACGAATTGGGATACAAAAATATTAATCGGTTTCATTAAAATTTCAATTGGGAACATTTAAATTTAAAATGACTTTTAAAATCCATGAAAATATCATGTGAGGAAGTGCATTCCGTATATTTTCACAAAATTCATAAGAATCTCATTCAAATTTGCAAACTTTCAAATAATACTAATAAAATTGTTATATGTATTTTTAAGCTTAAAATCCATCCAGACACCTTAAAAATCTTTTTATTAATGAAATCCATATAAATCCATGAGTTATTGATGATACCTAAATAAGCATTTTTTGGGAAAATCATTAAAATCCATAAAATTTCAATTGAGAACACCTAAATTTAAATTTTTTTTAAAAATCCATCAAAATCTAAGTTGACAACTAGTAAATCATTTCTCCCTATATATATGTATAAAGATCCCTAGAAGAGGATAATAACAAATCAAACTCTCTTATTGCTAGCTCTTTTCATTTTATTTTAATGGCTTTCTTTATGCTTAATGTCTTTTCCATTCTTCTTGGTGTTTTCTTCACCAATGCAAATGGATCTTTCTATCAATACTATTCTCCTCTATGGGGATTAAATCACCTAACGGTTAATCCTCAAGCAACCGAAGTACAACTTCTTATGGATCGGTCCTCAGGTTAATTGTTTGAATAAGTGATATTCGTTTTATATATAGAGCTAGAAAATTGTGTTGAGAATATAACAGAAAAACATATTTGTATACAAACAACTTTTTTTGTTTTCTATGACAACAACTATCAAATAACTGAAAAAAAGAAAAGAAAACTTTTATCTCATAAAGTGAAAAAAAATATAATGGTTCTAATTATGACTTTTATGGGTGTATATAGGGGCTGGATTTCGTTCCAAGCTGGAATATGGATCCGGATTGTTTCATATAAGGATGAAGATACCAGATAGAAAAACAGGAGGAATAGTTACAAGCTTTTATGTACTGTTTAATTCTATTATATTTATTTATTGAGATTTGCTTATAACTTTTGATTTTGATTTATTTTTTAAATTGGTAGTTGACCTCTGCACCAGATAATCAAGATCCTGGAAATCATTATGAGCTTGATTTTGAGTTTTTGGGTACAACTGGAAAAGTGCAAACAAATGTTTATGACAATGATGAAGGGCACAGAGAACAAACCTTCAATCTTTGGTTTGATCCTTCTAAAGATTTCCATACTTACGAAATTCTTTGGAACCCCCATCAGATAGTGTAATGCTTTTTCCTTACTTATTCTCTATTTTTTTTTTTCGCATTTTTTCTTATATCGACCCAGTGCATATCTATTATGTTAGCAGGCCGGAACCAAAGGAAACCCTAATGTAGCATGTATCAATTCTATTCGTGCCATAAGTCGCATTCAGTAGTCGAGTTAACCACTTAAGTGCTCATGCTAAACCTGCACATCACTCTTGTATGATGTTATTTTTATGCTATTTTAGGTTCTTTGTCGATAAAATTCCGATTAGAGTGTTCAAGAACAACACGGCGCATGGATTGGATTATCCCTGGAAGCCTATGCACATAGAGGCAAGTATATGGGACGCAGAATGGGCAGGAGTGGTTGATTGGTCTCAAGCTCCTTTCATAGCTCATTATCAAGATTTTGATTTCAGCGCTTGCCCGGCTCAAATTAGCACGGTTTCGCAATGCAATTCGGACAAATATTTTTGGAACGGGCAGTGGGAACTCAATGCTACGCAGAAACAGCAAATGAGAAGCTACAGAAACTCTTATATGGTTTACGACTATTGTTCAAAACCAACTACCAGCAAACCAGAATGCTCGTTAAACAACTGAGTAAATAGGATTCATTTTAAAATTTTACGTTTCTAGTTATTTTTTGCGGTATTCAAGAACTCACATTAATTTGACATTGATAATAACCTGTATAATTGTCTGGCGGTGGCAAGAAGAATAGTTTTGTGGTGAAACAAGTTTGTGCAAGAGTCAAGCCTTTGTTATACAACTGTTGAATACATTGTATAGTAGAATATAAAAAAACATGAACTTGTTATAAAACTAAGAGCCAAAAAAAAAGAATAATAGAACTAGAATTGAGAGAATCAATACATAAGTGTGTGATTATATTATAACGATGGACCCATATTTATAGGATTCAAAATGAGATTTACAATTAAAAGTAGAATACACTCTTTTGTAGTAAATAAGACTTATTTATGTATCTTGATAAGATTAAATAGATATCAATAATTATCTCACAATTTTACAATACTCCCCCTTTGATAACTATTTGTATAATATCTGCTTTGTTAAAAATTTAGTTTAACAAAAATTTAATGGGACAAAAATACCGAACTTACGAAAACAGAGTACAAATAATTATAACAAAATTGGTATAATAAAATGTTGTCTTGTAAGAAAATTCAGTAGGACAAAATTTGAGCGAAAGGAAAAGCTTCCCTGATTTCAATAAATGAAAATTATTGTAATGAGTTATCCTTGTTTTATATACCAATATCTTAATAATTCTGATGAAGTGTGTTTGATTACATTGTCATGATATAGATTTTAAGAAATATCATTTTCTACTAGATATTTATCAATTTGTGGTGACTGTAATTATATGATGGTTCAGTAATAAATGGATCTTCTTATTCTTTGTAGGAGTCTTGTACACAATTTATAACATTTAAGAGTATTATTTAGAGGGTTTATTTCTGATATGTTATGGACATTAATTATACAAAGAATATGCACATTAAAATCTTATTAGGAAAAATTTTGTGGAAAAAATCATAATCAACGAAAAATAGTATATTATTATTTTGAATATGCTACAAAAGTTGTTTTACAAAAAATATTGTCAGGAAAATCCAATGGCATCTTGGTCAAAGAAAAAAGAGAAAGATGTGTATTTATTCCCCTCATGATAATTTCGTTTGAATTATATGCTCTACGTATAAAATACGTCAGGGATAGTATTAAAGCTCTGCCAAATGAATTGGCCATAGTTACTTTATTGTATGCATATCAAATTTCATGCAATACTTGGATAATAAGATATAGACTTATGATTACTACAATCTTTGTGAAGTTTTATTATGTTGAGAGTTGTGCATTACATATTACGACTTCGTTTTACTCATTTCCTTTTCATATAAGTTTACACATTTAGGTGTTCGGAATGCAGATTTAAAAACTTGAGATTTCTTTAGTAAGTTCAATTTGTTAAGAATGTGTACTTTTATTTGGACATTCATTTCTTCAATCAATACGCTTCAATGAATTTATTTTGATATTCTTTCTATTTGTAGTATGAATCGATACATCATGTACAAAATCATTATCGACATTTTTTTTTTTTTTGGATTCTATTTTATTGCCACAATGACATAACCTTTTGATATCAGGTTACTTTCAATATTTAAAGCACTTGAACCTCTTCTAAGATTTTATAATAAGTTATGTCTATCTATTCTCTAAGAGTATACGCCTTCTAAATGGAACTGTCTTTTTTATTTGTTCCATTTTCTTTTGAAGATTTTTATCTTGAAATTGAATGTAATCACACTTCAAGTATGCCATAAATTTATCAAATATAATATTAGCGAATTGTCCTCATAGGACATGGATTCAAGTTGCAGCATTTAAAACTGATATATGTGAGACATTATTAATCTCATTGATTAATACATGAATCTAAATGAATTATCTTTTGTGAGGATCTAAATAATAATAATCATGAATCAAGTATACAATTTCAACTTCTTAATTCCTTTTTCTTATTATAAGAAAATTATCCAATCAAATTGACAATCAGTAAATAGTTATAAAATATCACTTGCTAGAGTTTAAAATATTTTATAAAAGTTCAAACTATACATGTATTCTCAATATTTTTTAATGTCTATTTCGGTAAAATATGGTGGAGCGCTTGTACATATATGCACTTAAAAAAATCATTAGACTGAATTATTAAATTTTGACCATATAAATTTTGACCATAAGCTAAATATAGTAGGGAGAACTTTGATATTATCATGATCCTATTAGTTTTCCTACATATAAAATAAAGTTTCCAATCAAAAATGAAAAGCACTTTGTTCTCAATATTAATTATTTAAAAATTAATTGGAGTCTTAAAACCAACAATAATGTTAAATAATTTATCATCATATCTTATAACACTTATTTAGGCTCATAGATTAAAAAGACACACTGTCTTGATCTATAATATGAAAGTTATGGTCATAATTTAAAATTTAAGCAAGTAATCTCATAAATTTCAGGTTATGAATTCAGTGTAATCATCTAGTAATTATATTTAATGAATAGAAATTATATCTAGATGGTCAACATGGAGGGTGATGGGGCCTCTTTTAACACCCTAATTAATTCCAAAATCATAGGTATTTAGTCCAATTTTAGTTAATGATGATTGATGACCAATTTATAATACACAAAATAAGAATTATATGTGAATTCATTGGATTGAAAAATCGTCTAGTTCTTTACCATTAGTTAGTTTAGTGTGGTAATTAGATTAGTTGTAGGTTTAATTTGTTAATATAAATCATCCGTCAACTAATCTTGCTATTCAATTAAATTTAGGATTATTAGAATTGATTAAATACTTAGTACTCGTGAAATTAATATATAGACTTAGTCCACTTTATTGTTTACAATATTGTCCACTTGTGGCACTTTAGCACAAGACGTTTTTGGCATTGTTGTATCCAAGTCTGAATTTTGCATATAACTAACATATTTATGCTAAATTAGGTAAATATCTGCTCGATATAATCATAATTCATTAATTTTAGAAGCCTAGATAAGCTTATAAAATATACTTACCAAATATCTCAAATATAAATTCTTGTTCTTCCCAAGTAAGATTATCTACTTAAAACACGAGAGAAAACAAAAGTCAATCCTTTAAATGGATTTTTGTATTCAACTCAATTAATGAAACTGTTTGATAATTCATACAAAGCTCATAAGTAACGCTACCATTACAAATTTTCACTTTTTCAATGCTCAAATGACGTGTGTACATAGTCAATTCAATCTCTCAATCTTTTAAATTGGTTATTTTTCGAACTTCAATTGTTAAATATTTCACCTCTCTTTTGGGATGTACACTTAAAAACTTATTCAGCACACTCGTCATGTTTATATGCAGATGCTCTTTTTCAGCACTAGATCTTGTGTATTCCTTCTTTCTTTTGCATGATTTACAAGATACTTCTATGATAATTGATAAAAGAAAGGAAAATCAATTATTAATTAATACGATCAAATGAAAGTTAAAGCTAATCTAGTATCGATTGGGAGTATTGGAGTACATAATTTTTTGGACAAGATCGTGATGATAGGACTACTACAATAAGTATAAAATATGATAAATAAATATATTAGATAATAACTATAACATGTCTAAATATTAAACGCAATTTTTTCATGACAAAGAAATGCCCATAATCATGTTATTTGGATCATCCAAACTCATTTCTTATCATATCCTTTGCATTGCATGACGAAGTAATCCCCCATAGTCACGTTGTATTCATTAATTTCTGCATAGAGATCATCCTGGAAAGATTTCTTTCTATTTATCCTTTACTTTGATTTTAATAATACCCATAGTACTCCCATGGGCAAGACTTATTCATCAACCTTGTTCACACCCAATACTTGGAAACCTAGTAATCCCTGTAATACTTTCAAAGGTAGGTCATCATCATCAACTTCGACAAGTGTTTTATATTTCTTCATTTTAAAGTGGTGAAGGAGGAAGAGATCCCCTATAAGCATGTTGTCATCATTAATTTCGGGATCTCTCATCTTAATTTGATGCTGATACCTTGCTTCTTTGAATTCATTGTCAATAGAATCAAGAAAAATCAATAGTTTAGCTAAAAAAATAATAAATCAAATTAAAATTACAATTAACTAAAAGCTAACTAAATAACTATAAAATTCAAAGGGAGAAGCCAAGAAAGGCTTTTGGGATACAATACAGATATTCGAAAGGGGATAAGCCTTAGGAGGAAGCTTTGGATTATGAAGGCACATTCTTTTCAAGCTTTATAGAAGCGTTTGTCACAAAATACCTATCCATATAATTTCATCCGTTTTTTTCTTTGTTTGAAAAACAAGAAGAAATTCAAAAGTTTCATCGTCTCTTTCCATGATAATTGAAAAGGGAAAGGAATATTAATTACCAATACAATCACACGAGAGTTAAAGCTAGTTCTGTATCGATTTAGCCTGTGGGATTATATTAAAAAATAAAAAATCGACATGATTGTGATAATAGGAATATTATCCTAATAATAAAATATTGAAAGAGATAAATTAGACAATAATTGTATTAAATGATATCCTAACTTACCACATGCAATACTATTTATAAAAACAAGTATATAAAAGGGTTAAAAATTGAATTGCTTCCCAATATACGTTTGAATATAACCCAAATCCGAATTTTTGCAGCAAGACATTCATAGCACTTTGAATAGGGCTTCGAAAATCTTGCTTAAGTTGTCTTTGCACCAAATTTCGTATGTCCTTTTACTTGCCCTTTTCAACATAATATGACTCATCTACACCACTCAATTCAAACTTAATTAAGGATACTTTAATCTCCTCTTCGTCTTTAATTACAAAATCATTAAATTTGAGCGATAGCATTCTAGTTTTATCTTTATTGAATGTTATCGATTCATTTGACTCTGTGATGGTTAACTCACAGATCTCCACATACTCTATAGGCTCTCAAGTTTTGTGTGGCAAAGAAATCTCTCATAGTTATGTTATTTGGATCATCCGAATTA